TAAAATAGGCAAGACTCAAGTATTGCTTTAGAAAGACCGATATTTGACGCATTTGAATATCAGATGACTTCAAGAATTCAACGAGTAAAGATATTTCAAGTCAATAATTTCCAATTCCCAAGCAGTTTGAGTTGAGCAGTAAAAAAGATAATGTTGTGAAAGGAAGTAAGAAGAAGAACAACAACAGGAAGGAGAAAAAGGTGGATTGAAGAAGTACACAGCTGTGTAAAAAAGAAGAAAAAGTTTGGGTGAAAAAGAAGAAGAAAAAGTTTGGGTGAAAAAGAAGAAGAAAAAGAAGCATAGAAAAAGAAGAAGACATTGAAGAAGATAAAAACGCAATTATTATTGTTATTAATAACAATAAGAATAATAACAAGTAGAAGAAGACGAAGAAGAAAAAGTAGCAAAGAAAAAGAAGAAACTTCGAAGACAAAAGCGTTATTAACAACAATAATAATAATAATAATAATAATAATAATAATAATCCTGTTACGGAGATAGCACCTGTTACAATTCCATGGGACTACACAATACACACTGACAGAATAATCAAATCCAACCGCCCAGATATTGTTATTAAAGACAACAAACAAAAAAAGTGCCTCCTTATTGATATGGCAGTCCCTGCAGACTGCAATGTATCTTTGAAGATATTCAAAAATCTGTCAAAATACAAGGACCTTGAAATAGAAATCTCAAAAATGTGGCATATGGGAATATCAACATTCCCTGTTGTAGTTGAAAACCTAGGATTGATTGGAAAAGATTCCAATAGACTAATTGAAGGGATTCCTGGAAGAGATACAAAAAATTGTTCTCACAAGGACAGTCCACACTTTACGAAAGGTTTTATCTATGTATTTTTTTTTTGTCAGTGGAAAGTGTCATGATGCCATTTCTAACCTTAGGTCAGTGGGCGGGCCCCGGAAAGAAATATGTAAACACCAGAAATCAAAGGAAATAATAATAATAATAATAATAAGAAGAAGAAGAAAGAAGAAGAAGAAGAAGAAGAAGGAAACGGTGTAGTGAAGAAGAAGAAAATGAAAGAATAACTTGGAGGCGAAAGAGAAGAAAAAGAAGGAAAATGTGAAGTTAAACTTTTTATAAAATACAACCTTCACTTTTCGAGAAAGAATTGAATTTCGCAAAGCAAAACCTAAATGGTAATTTTAGCCGTTTCGTTATAAGGAGATATTCAGCATTTATTGATCCAACCCGAGTGCTACCCTCAAAAAAAAAATATATATATATATATATATATTAAAACAATTTTTCAGAAAAATAGATTTCTCAAATCAGCGGTTATTACTCTTTGCAATATTGATGGGGATTTCCTACCTAACCTTGCCGCATTAGCATATTCACATGATAATTATAAAAATCAGATATTTTTCAACATAATCTCATTCCTTGTATTTAATTTAGCAGAGGAGGTATGCCTAGCGACAGCATATGCTCCTACGGCTGTAGTACGTGGTACCCCAAATAATCTAAGTTACAGAACTCAGGATCGGATCACATCGGGTGAATGTTCAATTTTACGCTCATTCTGTGGCTCTGTCACAAGCAAAACTGAATGTATTACAGTGCTACATTTGTTCTCTTTCATTAGATTTGTTGTTGTTGTCGCTGTTATTGTTGTTATTGTTTTTGTTATTGCTGTTGTTGTTGTTCTTCTTCTTCTGCTTCTTCTTCTTCTTTGTTGGCTTTCAATGCCTTCTTTTCTTCCTCTTCTTTTGCCAATGTTTCCTTCTCTTTCATCAACCTTTCTTGCTCATTCTCTCTCTTCACTTTTGGATTTGTTTTCCTTCTCTATCTTTTGGTTCTTCAATTCTCTTTCTTTCTCTTCTTTCTTTCTTTCTTTCTTTCTTTCTTTTTTCTTTCTTTCTCTTCTTTCTTTCTTTCTCTTCTTTCTTTCTTTCTTTTTTTCTTAACCACTTTTCGTTATCACAACCCACTCATTTCCAAAGTTTTATTTTTCAATCAATTCTTTCTTTCTTTTTCTTTCTTTCTTTCTTTTTTTCTTTCTTTCTTTTCTTTCTTTCTTTCTCTTCTTTCTTTCTTTCTTTCTCTTCTTTCTTTCTTTTTTTCTTAACCACTTTTCGTTATCACAACCCACTCATTTCCAAAGTTTTATTTTCAATCAATTCTTTCTTTCTTTCTTTCTTTCTTTCTTTCTTTCTTTCTTTTCTTTCTCTTCTTTCTTTCTTTCTTTCTTTCTCTTCTTTCTTTCTTTTTTTCTTAACCACTTTTCGTTATCACAACCCACTCATTTCCAAAGTTTTATTTTTCAATCAATTCTTTCTTTCTTTTCTTTCTTTTTTCTTTTTTTTCTTTTCTTTCTTTCTTTTTTTTTCTTTTCTTTCTCTTCTTTCTTTCTTTCTTTCTCTTCTTTCTTTCTTTCTTTCTTTCTCTTCTTTCTTTCTTTTTTTTCTTAACCACTTTTCGGTATCACAACCCACTCATTTCCAAAGTTTTATTTTTCAATCAATTCTTTCTTTCTTTCTTTCTTTCTTTCTTTCTTTCTTTCTTTCTTTCTTTCTTTCTTTGATGTCAATGTCTTTTTCATTTTTTCTGATGACCGACTTACTTTCACTATCTTATATTTGCAATTCTTTTTTCTTTCTTTCTTTCTTTCTTTTTAAAAGTTTCTATTTTCCCTTTCAGTGCCAGCTAAAATGAAAACCACAAACACAAAAACGTGACGACGAAACGAAACGAAACGAAAATAACATAAAATGAATGAAAATCAAACCAGATTAGAATTCAATAAAAGGTACAACAACGAAGACGTCGACTTCTCGCGAGAGAAAGAATCTAGTCCTAAAGAGACAGCAATTAGCTCCCTTTGTGGAGGAGCTCTCCGGTCTCTCCACCACTCTTCGCTTTTCATCGAACCACCACAAGCCCCATGTTCCCTGTATTTCTTTACCCACACCGCCCCCGGTGACCATTGAAGCTTGAATCTCGACGCGCTCTTTCTCGCTTTCGTTGATTCCCTATCGTCTTGCTTCTTCTCCTCTGCGTTCTCCAGCCTCCACCATTTGTGTAATTCTCTCCTCCGTTCGTTCCATACAACCGGAAGCAACATCGATGTCAAGTCCATCAAACTAAGTGCCCAACCCCGAACTACATCCGGGCATGTTTACCACATTAGCCCTATTGATTTCGTTCTCGTTTGGAGCATTCCAGTCTTGTTCATCTATTCTCTTTCTTCTTCCTCTTTTTACCTCGACGTTTCCTTCTTTTCCAATTCCCTGTTTTATTCTGCCATCATTATCATCATTATTGTCTTCTTCATCTTCTTCTTCTTCTTCTTCTTCTTCTTATTATTATTATTATTATTATTATTATTATTATTATTATTATTATTTTGTCTTTGTCATTTCTCCGCCATTTTCATGTTCTTCGTCGTTTCCTTCTTTTTTTCACCCTTTTTTATTTTTATTTTTCTTCTCTTTCACATCCAATTTATTGCTTCTTCTTCTTCTTCTTCGTTACACGACCGTTTTCTCCTTTTTCTCTCCTTTTTCTTCTACTTCTTCTTCTTTACCTCAACGATTTCATCTTCATTACACAGCCGGGCAATTCTTTTTCAATCCACTGTTTACTTCTTCTCGTTTTTGTTCTTATGCTTCTTACTTGCTTTCACCACATTATCTATTTTATTTTTCCTTTTCTCTATTTTTCGTTATTCGCTTTCTCTTTTACCAATTAGTTCTTCTTTTTTTCCTTCCTTTTTTTTTCTCTAATTTTACTTTTTACATTACTTTTTTTTATCACTTGTTAATTTTACTTTCCGTTTGTCCAGTTGGGCTTCTTTCTGTTTTTCTTTTTTTCTTTTTTCTTTCATTCTTTCTTTCTTTCTTTCTTTCTTTCTTTCTTTCTTTCTTTCTTTCTTTTAGTTTCCATTTTAGCCTTCTTTTTCGCCACTTATTTTTCCAATTGATTTCTCTATTTCTTTCTACTTTAAGCTTTTCATCATCATCATCATCATCATCATCATCATCATCATCATCATCATTCCCAACAACACCACCATTGTCATCATCATCATCATCATCAAAATCAGCTCCATCATCACATTCATCATCATCATAATCACCGCCAACACCACCACCACCATCATCATCATCATCATAATCATCATCTTCCTTTTTCGGTTGGCCAGATGCATATGCATTTCTACTCTCTATTTCTATATGACTCGAGCTTTAGATACCCCCTCACGTCTTTTTCTTCTCTGTTGATCAAACTCGTTTTCCTTCTCTTTATTCGCTATAATTTCTTCTGCCTCTTTTGTCTTCCTTTTTATTCTCTTCATTCATTTTCCTTTTTCTCTCTCCCTGCATTTTTTCTTTTCATTCCTATTTATCGTTTGTATTTATTGTTCTGTTTTCATTTGCTTTTCTTCTTTCTTTTTCTTTCTTCATCAATATCCTTATTCCGTTACTTCAAATTATTCGCCTGTTTTTCTGCTATCTTTTTCTTCTTCTTTTTTTTACATTGTTTTCTCTTTTCTTCTTGTCGATTATTCAGCATTTTTTCCTTTCTCTCCCTTTCTTTTTTTATTCTTTCACTTGTTTCGTTTTTCTCTCTTTAAGTCACTGTCTCTCTTTCGTTTTTCTCTTATTTCTTCTTTTCGTTGTTTACACCGTCCTTTTCTTTTCTCTGCCTTTTATCATGTGACCCTTTCATTCCTCGTCACAAATCGTCGGCGTTTTTTCTTCATTTTTGTTTTTCTTTCTTATCTCTTCTCTTTACCATTTTTTTTATTGCTACCACAATGCTTTCTCTCTTTTGTGCGCTATCATTTACTCACCTTATGCCAGTCTTGCCATAAGGTCACAAATATAGAGATATCAGTAAGGATCGAACGCAAAATACGCTGGTAATGATCAATCAGACTCATTAAAATTTAGCCCAATTTATCGCGCGTATGGTGTGCTTCTTTGTTTCTTTCTTTTTCAGTTTTCTTTCTTTCTTTTTTTTAAATAATGATTGTTTCCCCTTTTAATTATCTTTTTTTTTACTTCTGTTCTTTTTCCTTTTTTTTAATTCATTCGAAACATTCAATTGTTTTTTTATTCCGTCGTTCGGGGTTTTTTTTAATTCTTATTGTTTATCATCTAATTTCCTCTTTTTTGCTTCTTATCTTTCAATTTATCTTCACTCCTCTTTTTTTTCTTTCCTTCACTTTCTTTCCTTCTTTCGTCCTTTTCTCCTCACTTCTTTCTTCTGATATTTTTCCTATTTTTCTTTTTTATAGTTCTCTAATTTTGTCGTTTTTCTTTTAGTTTATTTTTCTTCTTCCTTCCCTGTAATCATCTTTGATTTTTTTTTTCATTATTTATTCTCTTTATTGATTTCTTTTTCCTTTAGTCTTTTTTTTCCTTCTTTATATTTCGTCTTTCTATAATTTTACTCCCGTTTTCCTCTTACTCACCTTCCTCCTCCTCCTCCTCCTCCTCATCTTTTCCATTGCTTTCTCTCTTTTGCCTTGTTTTTCATCTTCTTTCTCTTTCTTCATGTTTCTTCTTTTCGTGATTTTCTTCTTCGTTTTTTTTCCCACTCTTCTTTTGCCTCTTATTCTTCTTTCTCTTCTTTCTTTTCATCTTCTGCTTTTTTTTCGTACTCTTCTTTTTCTTCTAATTATTCTTTACCTTTTTCTCTCTCTAATTTGCTCTGCTTTTTTTTTCATTTTTTTCTTTCTTTTGTCTTATTTTTCTTCTTACTTCTCTTTCTTCACTTTTTTCTTTCTCTAATTTTATCATTATTTCTTTCGCTCATTCTATTTGTTCCTATTTCGCCATTGTTTAAATTTCTTTTTTGTCAAAATTTTTTTTTTCTTTTTTTCATTTTTCTTTGTTTCATTTTATATTGCGTTTTCCTTCGCGTTTTTCATTTTTCTCAATTCTTATTCGTTTTTGGCTCTTCATTTTTCGCCTGATTTTTCTCCTTTTTCCTCTTTCTTCACGTTTCATCTCTCATTGTCTTCTATTTTCATTCATTATCAAGATCTGTTTTCTTTTTCATTTCTTTCATCTTTTTCTCCATTTTTCCTTTTCCTATATTTTTTATTTATAAAAATCGATTTTCTTGTTTCATTTCTTTCTTTCTTTTTTTCTTTCTTTCTTCCGTTGTGTTTTTCTTCTTTTTTTTCTCTTTAATCCTCTCTCATCTTTGATGTTCTTCATTCTTACTCTTTTATCTTTCGTTTATTTTTCTCCTTCCTTGAATTTATTCACTATTTATCTTTCTCTAAGTATCATCTTCCACTTCTAGAGTCATTGTAAATTTCTTCTTCTTCTTCTTCTTCTTCTTCTTCTTCTTCTTCTTCTTCTTCTTCTTCTTCTTCTTCTTCAGTGCACGAATACCCACGCTGATATGTTTCGCCATCTTCTCATTGAATTATTGTCATCTCGTATAGAGCATTCGGACACATTTCTGTATGTCTGTCGACATGCACACTCCAAACTTACCTACAGCCGAGAAAATGCAGATTTTAAACAAGAAGCAATTAACTGTTGTATATACGCGTACTTCGTTTTCTCCGTCGCTGCCGAAATATATAATCAAGCCGCCATAATGTCTTATTTCGAACACAGTGTCTAACTTCGCATCAAACTATAAATTCTATTCCCTTCGATGTCATGCATATCACTATGATTAAGGCATAAATGCAGATGACCTGCATCTTAAAGGGATTAAGTTAAGCATTTCACATCGATGCTGGAGACTAGTGTTCGAACGCAAGCAAAAGCTTCTGTCAGTAATACTGAAATTCTTGATGACAATCTTTATCCATTAGGCAGATTGGATAAATGCAAATTTATTTCCTTCTTTTCTACTCATTCAAGGTCCATTTCGGCAGGTTTATTTATTTGGTTTATGGGTACATGAACGAGTGGTTAGAAAGATCGCATTCTCAGATCAGGAGACTCTGGTTCGAATCTCACCTTGGTCGATTTATCAGGACGGAGAATTCCTGAAGTTATCGATATTGGAAGATTGCCTGAAAAACATACCACGAGTTGACCCAAGACTTTTGAGTGAAATTGGGTAGACTGTACCATGGGGGGAGCGTCGATAGCTGTGCTAGCACGAATTCAAAAGACATCGTGACCGAGGGTTTGGGTGTGCTGGCATTGTTTAGATTGTTGATCACACTAGAAAACACGCTCTGTAAACTGTAACTAAGGTCTGCTCAGCATAGTTGCAGTATAAAGCACAGGTGGGCTTTGTGGGTGTTTAACAAATACAAATGCGCCTGAGCAAGCACCTGCAATAGGGATTGGCTAGCCGCCATAGCAGACGGGTATTCTCTAATACTAGTGGCCAACTATATATTTATCTGGCTTATTTTGTTTCACGGCGCATCAAAAACTCAACAGTTTAATGCCGACAAGATTTTTTTAGAGTAGATTCGTATGAATAGAATGTGTATTCTTTGTAAGAAATTAGTTTATAGATCAGGTTTCATTACGTATTTTTGTAAAGTGAATTTGCTGGTATTTTTACGATAAACATCTATTTTTATACTTTCATAGTGTTTTGACCCCAATTTAGGGGCTAACTATTTGCCCATAGCTTGGACCTTAAGAAGTGTTGCCAGTGCGGGTCTGTGTGGACCTGGGAACAATAGCAATTCAGACATGGTTCCACGCTCCTCAAAATTTCCAGATCAGAGACCTTGCTGCCGGATGTATTTAAGCAGAAATTATTCATCCAAAAGAGTAAACAAGAAGATTTGTTTGTGACAATGGATTCTTTTTCCAAAGACATTTAGTACGAAAGCAATTCGATAGGAATTTGAACTTATTTCACCGGTTTCACATTCTGTACCGATTACCGTTACTCTGCCCACACGTCTTCTTAATCTGTATTAAGATTGTCAAAACTACTAAGCAATATATTGACCTAAATTGTAACAAGAATTGTCACATATATCGTCTAGATATCAGTGGGCCGTGTCCAATTTCAGTTAAGTGATTTTTCAAAAATGCATACGAGCTTATCGGAAAAGTAAGATTCAATCACGTATTAATCCAAAATGTTCATGACATATATATATATATATATATATATATATATGTGTGTGTGTGTGTGTGTGTGTGTGTGTGTGTGTGTGTGTGTGTGAAATATATAGAAAATAGGAAGGAACTGGTTAGGTAAATAATCCAAAGTCCCTGAGTATTTTAGTTATTATTTTTAAAATAGTGCTCGATACAAAAAGTAGAGCATAAATATAATTATTTATTTAAAAATATGATTCCAATTCGCGACATAAGAGGTCTCATGTTTCAAAACAAGAGCCGAAAACTTCAATATAATTATTTGAATTAAATTGAGTTAAAGTAAGCTCTGTTCCATCTTCAAGCGAAATTTTTTTGGAATAACGTATTTCTGAAATTTACGTGTTTTAATAATTGAAATCAAAATGTCCATGGTAACAGCTAGGGCGAATTGTCTAAATTTAAAATAAAAAAATAAATAAATCTCCATAGACAAGCATACCAGACTAGGGTTAATACATCTTCCGTTTCAAATTTAGACACCCCCACCTTTCCCTGACTTGACATCTATGAAAGTAACTCTATACTGATACTTATTATTAACACCCAAATACACGCCTACCCAATTTAAAACAATTGCCCTAGCTGTTACCATGGAAATTTTGATTTCAATTATTAAAACACGTAAATTTCAGAAATACGTTATTCCAAAAAAAATTCGCTTGAAGATGGAACAGAGCTTACTTTAACTCAATACAATTCAAATAATTATATTGGAGTTTTCAGCTTTGTTTTGAAACATGAGACCTCTTATGTCGCGAAATGGAATCATATTTTTAAATAAATAATTATATATATATATATATATATATATATATATATATATATATATATTTATATATATATATTGATTTCCAATATTATATCAGGAGAAAATTTTTCTAATATTGTATCCAATATTGTATTAGAAGAAAAGTTATCAAATATTACCTCAGAAAATATTATTCTATATTGTATCCAATATTCTATCAGTAGAAAAAACACACAAAAAAACAAAAACAAAAAATAGACAAATCTTGTGGTCCTGGACATAAATTTACAGTAGAGGATTCCGATTTCTTCATTTTAATTAAATCTTCATGCTGATAAATTATTATTTCTTTTAATTAAAATTGTATTTTTTAATAGGAAATTATGCTTAAATTTATTATGATGAAGGAATAATGTCTTGAGTATAATATTTGTAAATTATCCCTTATCTACAATATTTTCATTATTCGGACTATTGTCCTCAACTTTTCGCCATATTTATTACAACGTTTCGGCCGTTGTACGTTCCGGTCTTCTTCAGGCGGTTGGAATGTCGAACTAAACCCTTTATTTCGCTCACTGGGGTAGACTGTTCTAGTTCCACGTGCTATGTTTAGTTCTCCACTACCTTAGCCGTGTATTGAACTCACACTCTTTGGGTTCTGTCACTGGATCTAACCAACGCCTTTATCCACTGTGCCATGTGTCCCTGAGCGAAATAAAGTGTTTAATTCGACATTCCAACCACCTGAAGAAGGCCGGAGCGTACAACGGCCGAAACGTTGTAATAAATATGGCGAAAAAAATGAGGACAATAGTTCGAATAATGTAAATAATGTACATAATACCTCCTCTCAGAAATATAGACAGATATCCCGTATCTGTCCATATAATATTTTATTTCCTAAATATTTCGCCTATGTATTTTGAGGAAGACAGAATGCATGGTCATCAGTAAAAGAGTGAGCCCGAAAGGCAAGTCAGGGACACTAAAATCAAGATGGTGCGGAAGTTCAAATATCTGAAAAGCGTTTTGACGGAAGTCAGTAAGGTCGACGCTGAGATCCGAAGACGGATTGAGATGGATAAAAGCTCGACAGAGTATTACGAGACAGAAGGATTTTTTTTTTTTTTTTTGGTAACAAAGAAAAGAAGACTGAGCTGCTACATGATATCTGTCCTCCTTTACGGCAGCGAATGTTGGCCGATCTCCTCAAAGATGAAGAAGAGACTCGAGGCAATGGATGTATGGTTCTACAGAAGGATGCTAAAATTATCATGGACCGAGCGTGTGAGCAACGATCAGGTTTTGGGGAGGATGCAAACAAGGAGGAAACTTATACTTAACATGAAGAAGAGGCAGATGAAATTTCTGGGTAACGTAATGAGAAAGGAGGGTCTGGAGAATCTGATACTCACAAGAGGGAAAGAAAGACAAGGGAAAACAACATATGACATACCTGATTGGCTTAAGCAAATGGATGACAGAACGTGATTTTGGGGAGGTGGCAGAAGTACGAAACTTATTGAGAGCTACAAGTGATAGGGTGAAGTGGAGAGCCATGATCGCCTACGCCCTGAAGTGACACGGCACATAAATAGAAAAAGAATTTTGCTCTCTATTAAAAAAAATTGTTTTAAGGTAATTATTTTGTTTTGTGTTGATTAAATTTCTTATTGTCTTTGAAGTAATTATGACACGTTTAATATTCAGTGTAGATAAATTATTTTAAAATGCACATGATACTGAGTTGCTGTACGTACATAATATAAATACTGATGACACAAGGGTCAGACGCGTAAAGAGGATTGTACATAATCCGGCATAAAAGTATTGATCCCCGAGACAATATTGGTATAGGTAAGGAGAAACGGGACGATAAATGGGAAAGTAGTAACTAATCGAGAAACTCCATTCATCGTACGATAAAAACTAGACACCTTCAAGACTCGAATAAATATTTGTCGGTGATGCCCATTTCAAAAGATTGTATAGCGTTATTGTTCATACTAAAACAGTTCACCTTATATGCATTAGGGAACAAAGGGAACATTGAATTAATAATTTGTTTTATTTTTGGTGCTTTCAAACCGAATATCGCAACAAAGTAATTACACCTATTGTACATATTTTATACTTCCAAACAGAGACTGAAGGTGAGGGCTGGTTGCAGACCCTTTTTAATTCTTCCCACAAGCGATGTGCCCTAGGAGAATGGTTAGTTCCTTTTTAATATTCATATTTTGCAGATCCTTTGTAAGTAATCATTTTTAGGCCACGTGACAAATATGGCGCGTGGGAATATCCTCTAATAAAAATGTACATGCATTTGAAGTAATCGGATGCTGCCTGGAAATAAATGGCTGGGCTTTAAGGTCAAATCCAAGGATGACGTTATGCTAATTTTATGCTTGTTTTATAGAAAATATGCGTCCTCCGACAGGAATCGAACCTGTATCCAATACAGAAAATATATGTTGTTAATACTGTTTATTATAAACATAGTATTTACTTAAATATTTCTATCTATAAAAAAAAAATATAAGCGTAAAATGTCTCAAAATAATCGTCGGACTTTGTCCATTTTTATATATATATATATATATATATATATATATATATATATATATATATATATATATATATATATATATATTCATTCTTTATTATAAGTTATATATATATATATATATATATATATATATATATTTATTGCCATGTACATAATATTAGACAGATATTAGTTGATAACACAATAATACTCACATATAAACACGGTAAAGAGAACCTTCAGATAATGGAGGCCATCTACATTAAAACGAAGAAACCGACACACAATAAAATTAAATTTCAAACTAGTCACAGCACATTACATTGCATGTAGACATTGGTTCTGTTGTAATACTTTTGTCTATCGCGTGGTATGACGTCATAGAACCAGATCTTGAACTTAGGAACTGCGTCAGCTATTCCGCGGCCGTTATCGTCGCATAGAAAACTTCCATGTCATAATAACAAAATATCATCTTTGAAGGTGGATATCTTTGGATCATGCCTGTATAACCACTTCCAGGATGGGTCATATGAGCCGAAAGTTTCGGACCAACGTAATAAAAAATATGCAAATACTGGACAATTTTTGTCTTTAATTTCAGCAGAAATTAAAGCAAGTATTCGAACATTAAAACGGTTCATGATCAGACATAATAGACATTCATTGTCTGTTAGATTTAATAATATGTTTAAATATATTAGGTTGGTTCAAATTGACGTAATAATGTCGTTTTTGACCTTAAAAATACGTCAAAAAACGACATTATTACGTCATTATTTTTGCACCAACCTAATATATATATATAATAGGGTGTTTCAAAAATTTGATATCATTTCGCAATCTAATAACTTTGTTAGATCTCCTTCAAATGACTTCAAATTTTAAAAGCATCTTTATGTTTAATGTTTGTTTTATGTTTTTTATGTCTTTATGTTTTTGTGTTTTTTTATTTGTATTTTTATGTTCTTTAATCTTTAAACTTTTTCATTACAAGTATAAAATGCTATTTACTAGAAGAGAGAATCGTTTTTAATGTTTGGGGTTTGTTAGAACACAGTCAAACAAGACTGTGCAGCGTGCATTTATGAGAGAGTTCTCTTAAAGTTTAAACAGGAATGCAGATTTGGAGATGGCATTTTTCAAAGAAGAAGGCTGTTTTGCAGAAAAAAAAAAAATCCGGACGACTAGAAACTTCACATTTGTTTTATCGTTCACATAATCCACATGATTTTGAATTTCTCATTCAGATTTGGAAGAATAAATCTTATGATCTTCAACATTAATACTTTTTTAATTTCATTTGCCTTAATCATGTACTTTCTGTGATATTTACATCTCAAAGGATATCAAGTTTTTTAAACACCCTGTATATATATATATAAGAGTGACCATTGAAGTCAACACTTTGAGGCGAGAGGCGTAATCGTCAGACCATATCATGAATAAGCCTGTCGCCTCTAAGTGTTGACTTCAATGTTCATTTTCATATTTACAAACTTCAATGTTCACTTTTATATTTACACACGCTCTATCTCTGATATTGAGCACTTTATCCCATAAATATAGCACACCTTAAGACTATATTTCTTCATATATATATATGTGTGTGTGTGTGTGTGTGTGTGTGTGTGCGCGCGCGTGTGTATGTATTTGTGTGTTGTGGCCTTGTTAGGGCCAGAAATAAACACGCAAGAGAGGAATTGAGTTAAACAAATATATTAACAGAAACAGTAATACATATACAAACGAGAGTTTTTCAGCAAGAATGTTCGGTCCGACTGTCAGAGCTGACTGCTGGAAAATTTTCCTCCAAAAGGCAGTACCTGCTCGATTTATAGCTGGAAGGGGTGCATGCGTGCTTGGGTAAATTACTATAACACACACATATATATATATATATATATATATATATATATATATATATATATAAGAAAAAGAACAGTAAGATAGATAATCCGGTGTTCTTATAGATATTTTTAATTTTTACAAAATAGTGTTCAATGTAAATTTACAGAGCATTAATATTATAAACTGATTTATTTAAAATATGGTTTTATTTCGCTACACAGTTCTAACCATGTTTCAGAAATGGAAGCTAAAAGCTACGAATTTAATTTTGTAATTAAATTAAAGACATTAGTTCCATTTCATCCTCAGCCGAATTTTGGAGTAACTTTTAAAATTACTGGGTTTTAAAGACACAGCTAAAATCATAATTCACGTTTCCGTGGTTACAGATGAATCCACTTTAACTAGACAAGGGGTGTCTGCGTGTTCATTATGTCTGATATATATATATATATATATTAGAATTCTGCATCAAAACATATACAATGAGAATTTTAGAACGGATTTGCTATTAAACGTTATTTTTAGTGGTTACCCGCATTTGAGTAGACGCTCTGTTTATTTATTAAACAGTAGATTTATATATCTTCATCTAACAGCGTGAATGTTCGAGAGATTTTATTGGAGGAAAATTCAGCTTTTATTAGTTTGGTCTTAAAATAAGTACATCCTGTCTCCCCTCTCGCTTGTAACCATCCATCACAATAAAATAAAGTTTTTCATCGCTTTCTCTTCTCTCTCTTATTTATGCATTATTACTTTTCTTGTGTACTCTTTCTTTTCACCGTCTTTTGTACTTTTTTTTTGTCTATTTTGTGTATTCATTCTAATTTCGATATTCTCTTTCTTTTCTCTGTCTCTCGTACTCTTTTCTCTCTCTTGTGTACTCTCATTTCTATCGCTTTTGTACTCTTTCTGTAACTCTCCTTTTTTGTCTTGTGTGCGCTTCCTTTTTTATAAACTCTCCTTTCTCTGCCCTGTGTACTCTTTCTTTTCTCCGTTTTCTGTACTTTTTGTGTTCTATATTGCCAGCAGCCATTATCAAGACATTTGGCTCGATTAACATTTAACCTGGCCTAATGTGTATAGCTGGCCACATGTACTCGAGGATACTCGTCGACTATGGCGGCTAGCAGTTTGCAGACACTTGCTCAGGTGCATTTGTGTTTTAGCAACACCAGAGTCGTTTATACTGCAACTATGATGAACAAGCTTTAGTTACAGTTTCTGGGAAAGAGCGTGTTATATCTCGCGTGAACATCAATTTGAACAAGGCCAGCACGCTCAAGCCTTCGGCCACGATGACCGTGCTAGCACAGCTATCGACGACCCTCAAGCGTTCTATCTACCCAATTTCACTCACAAGGTCAATTTGTGGTATGATTTTCAGGAACTTTCCAAATGCGCCGCATGCTGGGATCGACCCCACCCAGTCCGATAACTTTAGGAAATCTCCTTCCTGGCAAATCGACCATAGTGAAATTCGAACCCGTGTCTCATGGTCAGAATCGGAACATCCTAACCACACGGTCACGTGCCCAATATCCAAAAGGAAAAGCAACGACTGAAATAAAACAATTGACTAAATGGAACTGATAAACATAGGTACAATTCTACTAATTACGGTGGCGAAGAATGAATTAAAGAAAAAGCTTAAAAGTGACAATTAATGACTTAAATAAGATAGCCTCGACTATTATTTTGTTAGATATGCCTTCAACAAGCAATATTCAAACTAATTCCAATTAACGGTAGATAAATTAATAAATTAACAATAGTTGAATTCTAGTGATCCGATTGTTCTATAAGGCACGGGTGTGTACTTGACAAAAGACTGTGATGAGTACACATCATTATGTTAGTTAATTAAGACTAATTCAATGGCGTCATCTGTTTTATTGAAGTTGTCTAATTCCAGAAGCCTATGTTTGGTAAACGTCAGTTAAGGCAAATATTTTGTGTGAGTTATTAAGTGTCTATTTATATGCATTTTCTGCCTTTGTGGTTTCGAGTGTCAGGTTGTCGCGTGAAAGGGGACGATTATAAATATTTTAAAGTCTTTACCATGAAAAGCACGATGGGATACATTAAAAAACCCACAAAGACAAGATTGATATCGATGTTAAAATAAAGGAGAAGAGACGATTAGTCAGTGAGGAGGATTGCATGAGGGCCGTAATGACGGGATTCGAAGAGTACAGGACAGAGACAAAGAAATGGTATACAAGGTAGAGAAAAGAAAGGGTATAAAAGGCACAGAAGAGAAGGGTATACAAATCAGAGACAAGAAAGGGTTTACAAGGCAGAGAAGAGAAATATTAGACAAGGCAGAAAAAGGAAAATTATACAAAGCAGAAAATGGAATGTTATACAAGGCAGAGATAAGAATTGTATACAAGGCAGAGAAAAGAAAGTGTATACAAGGGAGGGTAAAGAATGGGTATACAATGCTGAGAAAATAAAGGGTATACAAGACCAACAGAAAAGAAAGTGTATACAAGGCAGAGAAAAACGGTATACAAAGTAAAGAAAATTATTATGGGATCTTACCCATAACAATAATAATGGACTATTTATTCCATACTTAATAAATACTGCGCCTCAGGAGTAGGCAAGGAGTCGAGTCAGAGGCAGTCCGAAACAGAGTCGCGTTCAGACAATTACTACAAGACATTGGAATAGTGATACTGGTCGAGACTACATTGTTCTCTCTACCAAACCTGATTGTTCATACAAACACTTTTACTTCTCTGTATATATTCCTGTTTGTAATATATCTGTGTTATTCCATACCTGTGTTCGAGTTCTTCTTTATTGGTTCTACCTTGGACTATCACCGTGGTACAAGGAACCGGACCATAACAAGTGGCGACAAGGAAACCAACTCTCTGCACGGAGGACATACATTGTTTTTTTAAAAGAGTAAAACGAAACTAATTCTAAAAAAAAAAAAAAAAAAAAAAAAAAAATTTCTTTTTTTTTTATATCAAATTTTCACTGACAACAATGGAAAGTATTTTTTTGTTGCGTGCACTGGCTACAGAATATCAGGTTACACACAAAAAAACGTTAACATGGAAGATTTTAAGTCAACCATTATGGAACTTATCAAAATCCAATTTGAACAGCAACAAAGGTACGAACAGAAACATCTGGAATTGCAAGAATTATTGTTACGTGCAATGACAAATACGGAGCAAAAATCCTTGAACGAAACAGTTCTCTCTTAAGACGCTATTTGGAGTAATATCGAAGATTTCAAGTACGCACCAGACGAAGATAAAACTTTTGCAAATTACTTCCGAAGGTACGAACATCTATATGATTTTGACTGCAAAGATTGGTCAGACGCACGTAAAGTACGCCTATTAGTAAGAAAATTAGGCACAAGCGAATATACCAAATTCGTAGATTATATCCTTCCCAGAAAAACAAGCGAGTAAACGTTCAAAGAATCCATAAAACTGCTAACGGAACTTTTCAGCCATAATACTTCACTATTCCATAAAAGATGGAAATGCTTGAACCTTACAAAAAAGGAGAGCGAAGATTACATAACTTTCGCATCCATTGTTAACAAATATTGTGACGATTTCAAATTATCGGAACTCAGCGCGGACAATTTCAAATGCTTAATTTACGTCCAAGGCCTGGTTTCAACCAAAGACGCGGAAATGAGAGGCAGAATACTTACTAAATTGGAGAGTGAACAAGATCTGACATTTCAAAAACTAGCCGAAGACTGACAGAGATGCATCAGTGTAAAGAAAGACTTAAAAGACATAGAACAAGCTGGCATAGCACACGTACGCAAAGTACGAAGGCAAATAAATTTTCCCTCCTCACAAACAAACCGAACCGATTTTCCTGCCTCAAGAACAGGTAAAACAAAATTTTGTAATTATAATCAACATAAAAAAAACTACCACCCAGTCCATTCTATCGTTGTGGGTCTTGTCATTGGGTTATTGTGTATATATCGTTTTAAAACTTGTCTATCATGTAAAAAAATTGACCACAAAAGTTCTCATTGTTGGTATAGAAAAGAAAGCAAAAGCAGAATAAGAATTACGAGGACTGATCAAGCAGATGAGACTAATATAAGAAAATATGTACAGGTTGAAATGCAAAACAGAAAAGTTAGGTTACAGCTGGATTCTGGTTCAGACTTAACTATCATAAACCTACAAACATGGAGAAAACTGAACAAACCTGTCATGTTAAAAACGGATAAAATTGCTAGATCAGTTACGGAGGAGAAAGATAAAATTCGAGGTGAAGTAATTACAAACGTAACATTTAATGGAATGACGAAAAAACTAAAAATGTACGTCTTAAGAAATACCGAAAACCTATTCGGAACAGACTGAATGCAAAAATTCGAATTGTGGGATTTACCTATTAGTACGTACTGCCAAAATGTAAAAAGCTTATCAACCGAGGCAGACAAATTAAAAGGAAAACTAAAAACGAGTTTCCCCGAAGTATTTTCGGCAGGTCTCGGAAGAAGTAAAAAAATGGCAGCTAATATCAAAATAAAGGAAAACGTTTAACCTGTTTTCAAGAAAAAAAAAGGAGCGTACCGTTTGCGTTAATAGAAAAAATTGACCAAGAATAACTAGACTCGAAAATACGGGCATATTGAAAAAAGTAGAATACAGCAAATGGGCCGCACCGACGGTCTACGTCAAAAAGAAATCAGGAGAAATTCGAGTTTGTGCTGATTTTTCTACAGGTTTGAACGCAGCAATAAAGGACTACCACTATCCTCTACCCAGACCAGAAGTATTCACTAAATTAAATGGCGGAAAATATTTTTCAAAAATTGACTTAAGTGAGGCGTACCTGCAAATTCCAGTCGATGAAGAAAGTTCAAAACTTCTATGCATAAATACACACAAGGGATTGTACAGATACCAAAGACTACCATTTAGAATTAAGGTTGCGCCGGCTATATTCCAACAAACAATGGATACGATGCTTGCCGGACTAGACTACACAAATGCATACCTGGATGACGTATTGATTAATAGCGAAAGCGTTGAACAACACTCGCAACATGTACAAGAAGTGTTTAAGAAAATTCAAAGCTATGGATTCAAAGTAAAAGAAAATAAGTGTGATTTTTTCATGAAGTAAATTAAATACCTTGGCCATATCATAGATCAAGAAGGTAGACGACCAGACCCTGAAAGGTCTACAGGAATAAAAAATAAATGCCACTTCCTAAGAATATAACAGAACTACAAAGTTTTCTTGGATTAGTGAATTACTACTAGGAATTCATACCTCAAATGCATAAACTTCGCGCACCATTGAACGAATTGCTAAAGAAAGAAAAAGTTTGGCAGTGGACAGATCAATGCCAGGAAACGTTTGAAAAAATAATCAAGACATTAACATTGGATTTATTTTTGGCACTCTATGATCCTAAACTAGAAATTATTGTAGCAAGTGACGCGAGCGCCTACGGAGTCGGAGCGTGTATATTACATAAAATGCCAGATGGGACAATAAAACCTATCATACATCATCTTCGCAGTAACAAGATTCCATAGTTAGGTCTATGGTAGACATTTTACTCTGCAGACGGATCACAAACCGTTAATAAAAATTTTTGGTTCAAAAAAAGGTCTACCGGTTTACACTGCAAATAGGCTACTTAGATGGGGAACGATTCTTCTGAACTGCAATTCCAGATTGGAATATTTACCAATGAAAAGAATTGGGCACGCGGATGGCCTGTCGAGACTTATACCAACAAAGACAGAGTCATTGGAAGATACGGTAAACGCAGCCCTTAGAAATGAAGAAGACATAAGAACAGTACTATGTTGTACAGTCAGAAACATCCCAGTCACATTGCAAGACATAAAAAATGAAGTAAAAAATGACGAATATATTAATGAAACAAAAGCAAAAATAGCAGAAAAAAATGAGCAAGTTTCGAATAGCTTTTCTCTATGCGATAATGTGCTACTTTACAACGAAAGGGTCGTAATTCCTAGAACATTACAAAGCGGATCCTAAGGGATTTCCACAGGGGACACCCGGGTAAAAATAGAATGAAGTCGCTAATGCGAAGCTATGTATATTGGAAGAATATGGACCAGGATATTACTCAGATGGTGGAAATGTGAAAGGGCTGTAATTTAGCATCCAAAGCACCGCCAATCATACATAAGCCTTGGCCAGAGACTGATCGTCCATGGTCAAGAATATACGCAGATTATGCAGGACCAATTGACGGGTTCTACTATTTAATCATAGTTGATAGCTACAGTAAATGGCCGGAGGTGTTTCGTTGCAAAAATCCTACTACATAAACGTCCACAAATTTCCTCCACGAGCTATTCGCTCGGTTTAGTATACTGGACTGCTTAGTAACAGATAATGGAATGCAATTCATGTCAGCAGACTTCCAAGAGTTTTGCGAAATTTATCAAGTAAAATATATAAAACCCCCGCCTTACCATCCAAGATCAAATGGACAAACGGATAGATTCGTGGATACACTCAAAAGAGCATTACGAAAAGCGTACGACGTGCATACGGAGAAAGCATTACAGAAATTCCTACAGGTATATAGAATAACGCCAAATAATTCTACACCATCAACATTATCACCAGCAGAAGTCATGTTTGCTAGGAAAATCAGATCAGCGTTCGCTAAATTACTACCAAGTAAAACAAAACAATTAACACAGTTCTATGCACCAAAAAGAAAATTCCTCACAGGAGAAAAAGGTTTTTTTAAGGCATATAAAAATAATGCCTCTTACTTGGAACAAGGGATAATTGAGAAAAGAATTGGTAATATGATGTACATAGTACAAGGAAAAAAATTCTTACACAGAAGACACGTAAACCAAATAAGGAAGAGACCGTTAAAGGATGCTAACGGTCCACCTCAAGAAGAGGTATTAGACACGATTTTCGACACATTCGATATAACAAGACCGCAAACAATGCCAGAACCAAGAAAATCTTCAAGAAAAAGAAAATTCACTGAAACTTTGGAAATAGATCCAAAGAAAAAAAGATATTAAAAAAAAACCCTGGTACGCAAAAGCTTCGGAAGGTGTTGGGGGTTATTGAATCTTACCCATAATAATAATAATGGACTATTACATACTTAATAAATACTGCGCCTCAGGAGTAGGCAAGGAGTCAGTAGTTCCAGTCAAGGCAAGAGTCGGGTCAGAGGCAGTCCGAAACAGAGTCGCGTTCAGACAATTACTGCAAGACATTGGAATAGTCATACTTGTCGAGACTACATTGTTCTCTCTACTAAATCTGTTTGTTCATACTATCACTTCTACTTCTCTGTATATATTCCTGTTTGTAATATATCTGTGTTATTCCATACCTGTGTTCGAGTTCTTCTTTATTGGTTCTACTTTGGACTATCACTGTGGTACAAAGGAACCGGACCATAACAGAAAAGAACGTTATTCAAGGCAAAGAAAAGAAAGGGTATACAAAGCAGAGAAAAGAATGGGTTTACAAGGCAGAGAAAGAAAGGGTAGAAAAGGCAAAGAGAAAAGAAAGAGTAGAAAAGGCAAAGAGAAAAGACAGGGTTTGCAATGCAGAGTAAAGAAAAGATTGAGAAGGTAGAGTAAGAAAGAGTGTAGAAAGCAGAGACAAAAGGTATACAAGGCAAACAGAAATGAAAGTGGTTACAAGGCAAAGAACGGTATACAAGGCAGTGAAAAGAAAGGCTATGCAAGGCAGAGAAATAAAGTTTACAGACTAGAATGGAAACAGAAAGCTCATTAGAGAATGAAAAGAAGAAAGTACAAAAGAGAAAAGAAAACAGAAAATTACACAAGATATTGAAAAGAAAGCATACAAAAAGGAGAAAAGAAAGAAAGAATGGACAATGCAGAGAAAATAGAGAGTATAATGAACGAATAAAAGAAAATGTAGCTATTGAAAAGAAAAATACATAAGAGGGAGAAAAGGAATGAGTACACAAGAGAATGAAAGAAATGAGTACACAAGAGAATGAAAAGAAATGAGTACACAAGAGAATGAACGAAATAAGTACACAAGAGAATGATAAAAATGAGTACACAAGAGAATGAAAGGAATCAGTACACAAGAGAATGAAAAGAAATGAGTAGACAAGAGAATGAAAAGAAATGAGTAGACAAGAGAATGAAAAGAAATGAGTACACAAGAGAATGAAAAGAAATGAGTACACAAGAGAATGAAAGAAATGAGTAGACAAGAGAATGAAAAAAAGAGTACACAAGAGAATGAAAAGAAATGAGTACACAAGAGAATGAAAAGAAATGAGTAGACAAGAGAATGAAAAGAAATGAGTACACAAGAGAATGAAAAGAAATGAGTACACAAGAGAATGAAAAGAAATGAGTAGACAAGAGAATGAAAAGAAATGAGTACACAAGAGAATGAAAAGAAATGAAAACACAAGAGAATGAAAGAAATGAGAATAATAGAGAGAGAATGAAAAAAACGAGTACACAAGAGAATGAAAAGAAATGAGTAGACAAGAGAATGAAAAAAATGAGTACACAAGAGAATGAACGAAATGAGTACACAAGAGAATGAAAAGAAATGAGTACACAAGAGAATGAAAAGAAATGAGTAGACAAGATAATGAAAAGAAATGAGTAACAAGAAATGAAAAGAAATGAGTAACAAGAGAATGAAAAGAAATGAAAAAGAAATGAATGAAATACACAAGAGAATGAAAAGAAAATGACACAAGAATGAATGAAAATGAAAGAGAATGAAAAAGAAACAAGAGAATGAAAAGAAATGAGTAGACAAGAGAATGAAAAAATGAAACAAGAAATGAAAAGAAATGAGTAACAAGAAATGAAAAGAAATGAGTAGACAAGAGAATGAAAAGAAAATGAGTAGACAAGAGAAAATGAAAAGAAATGAGTAGGCAAGAGAATGAAAAGAAATGAGTACACAAGAGAATGAAAAAGAAATGAGAAGACAAGAGAATGAAAAAGAATGAAAAGAAAGGAATGAGAATGAAAAGAAATGAGTACAAGAAGAGAATGAAAAGAAATGAGTAGACAAGAGAATGAAAAGAAAATGAGTAGACAAGAGAATGAAAAGAAAAGAGAATGAGATGAGATGAGAATGAAAAAAAATGAGTAGACAAGAGAATGAAAAGAAATGAGTAGACAAGAGAAAAGAAAAGAAACAAGAGAATGAGAAAAAATGAAAAGAGAAATGAAAGAAATGAGTACAAGAGAAATGAAAAAAATGAGTAGACAAGAGAATGAAAAGAAATGAGGAGACAAGAGAATGAAAAGAAATGAGTAGACAAGAGAATGAAAAGAAATGAGTACACAAGAGAATGAAAAAAAATGAGAGGACACAAGAGAATGAAAATAAATGAAAAAAAGAATGAAAAAAAAGTAGACAAGAGAATGAAAAAATAAAATGAGTAGACAAGAGAATGAAAAGAAAATAGATGAGACAAGAGAATGAAAAAAAATGAGTACACAAGAGAATGAAAAAAAATGAGTAGACAAGAGAATGAAAAAAAAAATAAAAAGAGAATGAAAAGAAATGAAAGAAAGAAAGAGAATGAAAAAATGAATAGACAAGAGAATGAAAAGAAAAGACAAGAAATGAAAAGAAAAAAAGAAATAGACAAGAGAATGAAAAGAAATGAGGAGACAAGAGAATGAAAAAAATGAGTGAGATGAGAATGAAAAGAAATGAGTAGGGCAAGAGAATGAAAAGAAATGAGTAGACAAGAGAATGAAAAGAAAATGAGTAGACAAGAGAATGAAAAGAAATGAACACAAGAGAATGAAAAGAAATGAAGAGAGACAAGAGAATGAAAAGAAAATGAGTAGACAAGAGAATGAAAAGAAATGAAATAGACAAGAGAATGAAAAGAAATGAGTAGACAAGAGAATGAAAAGAAATGAGTAGACAAGAGAATGAAAAGAAATGAAATAAAGAGAATGAAAAGAAAAAAGAAAAGAGAATGAAAAGAAATGAATAGACAAGAGAATGAAAAGAAATGAGTACACAAGAGAATGAAAAAAAAGAGACACAAGAGAATGAAAAGAAATAAGACACAAGAGAATGAAAAGAGAATGAAAAGAAAGGAAATGAGATGAGAATAATAATGAAAATAAATGAGAGGACAAGAGAATGAAAAGAAATGATTAGAGAGAGAATAAAAGAGAAATAAGGAGAGACAAGAGAATGAAAAGAAATGAGGAACAAGAGAATGAAAAAAAGAGAGAACAAGAGAATGAAAAGAAAAGAAAGAGTAGACAAGAGAATGAAAGAAATGAAAGGAGAATGAAAAGAGAGAATGAAAAAAAATAAGAGACAAGAGAATGAAAAAAAAATTGACACAAGAGAATAATGAAAATAAATGAGTACACAAGAGAATGAAAAGAAATGAGGGACAAGAGAATGAAAAGAAATAAGGAGAGGGAGAGAATGAAAAGAAATGAGTACACAAGAAATGAAAAGAAATGAAGAGAAGAGAATGAAAAGAAATGATTACAGAAGAGAATGAAAAAAAAGGAGAGGGCAAAGAGAATGAAAAGAAAGGAATTGAGATGAGAATAATAGAGAGAAATAAGGAGAGGGCGAAGAGAATGAAAAGAAAGGAATTGACAAGAGAATGAAAAGAAATAAGGAGAGGGGCAAGAGAATGAAAAGAAATGAATTGACAAGAGAATGAAAAGAAATAAGGACACAAGAGAATGAAAAGAAAGGAACACAAGAGAATGAATAAAATGAGAGAATAAGAAGAGAAATGAAAAAAAGAATGAAAAAAGATGAGAATAAGAAGAGAAATAAGAAATGAGTAGACAAGAGAATGAAAAGAAAGGAATTGAGATGAGAATAATAGAGAGAAATAAGAGGGTAGAGAATGAAAAGAAAGGAATTGAGATGAGAATAATAGAGAAAGAAGGAGAAAGAAAAGAGAAGAGAATGAAAGAAGAAAGAGAATGATAATAGAGAGAAATGAGAACAAGAGAATGAAAAAATGAAAGAGAATGAAAAGAAATGAAAACAGATGAGAATAATAAGAGAGAAATAAGGAATGAGGGCGAAGAGAATGAAAAGAAAGGAATTGAGATGAGAATAATAGAGAAAATAAGGAGAGGAAAAAGAGAATGAAAAGAAAGGAAATTGAGATGAGAATAATAGAGAAGAAATAAAGAAATGGGCGAAGAGAATGAAAAGAAAGGAACTGAGATGAGAATGAAAAGAGAAAAAAAAGGAGAGGGCGAAGAGAATGAAAAGAAAGGAAGAAGAGAATGAAAATAGAGAAAATAAAAAATGAAATGAGTACACAAGAGAATGAAAAGAAAGGAATTGAGATGAGAATAATGAAAGAGAAATGAGGACAAAGAAGAGAATGAAAAGAAATGAAAAGAACAAGAGAATGAAAAGAAATAGAGAGAAAGAAATGAAAGGGCGAAGAGAATGAAAAGAAAATGAAAAGAAATGAGAACAAGAGAATGAAAAAGAAATGAGAGGGCAAGAGAATGAAAAGAAATGAATTGAGATGAGAATAATGAAAGAAATAAGGAGACAAAGAGAATGAAAAGAAAGGAAGTGAGATGAGAATAATGAAAATAAGAGGGCGACAAGAGAATGAAAAGAAATGAAAACAAAGAATGAAAAAAGAAATGAGGGAGAATGAAAAGAAAGGAGATGAGAATAAAAAAAAAAGGAAAGAGCACAAGAGAAAAAAAAGAAAGGAAGAGAATGAGATGAGAATAATAGAGAAATGAAAAGAAATGAGCACAAGAGAATGAAAAGAAAGGAACTGAGATGAGAATAATAGAAAGAAATAAGGAGAGGAGAAAGAAAATGAAAGTAGACAAGAGAATGAAAAGAAATAATAGAGAGAAATAAAAGAAAGGGCGAAGAGAATGAAAAGAAAGGAGACTGAGATGAAATAAGAGAAATAAAAAGAGGGCGAAGAGAATGAAAAGAAAGGAATTGAGATGAGAATAATAGAGAAATAAGGAGAGGGCGAAGAGAATGAAAAAGAAAGGAACAAGAGAGATGAGAATAATAGAGAGAAAAAAGGAGAGGGCGAAGAAGAAATGAAAAGAAATGGAAGAGATGAGAATAAAAAGAGAAAATAAGGAGAGGGCGAAGAGAATGAAAAGAAAGGAATTGAGATGAGAATAATAGAATGAAAAGAAAGGAGAGGGCAAGAGAATGAAAAGAAAAGAAACTGAGATGAGAATAAGAGAAATAAGGAGAGGGCGAAGAGAATGAAAAGAAAGGAATTGAGATGAAGAAATAATAGAGAGAAAAAAAAGGAGACAAGAATGAAGAGAATGAAAAAAAGGAATTGAGATGAGAATAATAGAGAGAGAGAATAAGGAGAGGGCGAAGAGAATGAAAAGAAAGGAAATGAGAATAATAGAGAGAAATAAGGAGAGGGCGAAGAGAATGAAAAGAAAGGAATTGAAAGAAGAATAGAGAGAGAAATAAGGAGAAAAACGCGAAGAGAATGAAAAGAAAGGAAATTGAGATGAGAATAATAGAGAGAAAAAGGAGAGGGCAAGAGAATGAAAAGAAAGGAGTAGAGATGAGAATAATAGAGAAAGAAATAAGGAGAGGGCGAAGAGAATGAAAAGAAAGGAATTGAGATGAGAATAATAGAGAGAAATAAGGAGAGGGCAAGAGAATGAAAAGAAAGGAATTGAGATGAGAATAATAGAGAGAAATAAGGAGACAAGAGAATGAAAAGAAATGAAAAAGAAAATGGAAAAAAGATGAGAAAGAAATGAAAAAATAAGATGAGAGGGAAAGAGAATGAAAAGAAAATGGAATTGAGAGAATAATAAATGAAATAAGGAGAGGGCGAAGAGAATGAAAAGAAAGGAAAAAGATGAGAATAAGAGAATGAGAAAAAGGAGAGAGGGCGAAGAGAATGAAAAGAA